TATTGATAATAATAATAATAATAATAATAATAATAATAATAATAATAATAATAATAATAATAATAATAATAATAATAATAATAATAATAATAATAATAATAATAATAATAATAATAATAATAATAATAATAATAATAATAATAATAATAATAATAATAATAATAATAATAATAATAATAATAATAATAATAATAATAATAATAATAATAATAATAATAATAATAATAATAATAATAATAATAATAATAATAATAATAATAATAATAATAATAATAATAATAATAATAATAATAATAATAATAATAATAATAATAATAATAATAATAATAATAATAATAATAATAATAATAATAATAATAATAATAATAGTAATATTGTTCTTTTTTAATTAGAGATGGTAAATGTGAGTAAAAAAACCTGACAATAGACATTGATTTTCATGGTTAAAAAAAGCGCTGCAATAGGGACCCGAAGGATACAATTTTATATACAGTGAAAAACTTTACATCTCTATCTAAGTCAATATGTCCGAGTGGTTAAGGAGACAGACTTGAAATCTGTTGGGCTTCGCCCGCGCAGGTTCGAACCCTGCTGTTGACGATATTTGGTTTGAAAAAAACAATTCATTTTCCATTTTTTATTATAAACCGCAAACGTTCATAAAAAAAAAATATAAAATACTACCCATTTGTTGGGGATTAATTCCAACGCCATCTACAACAATTATAAGAATTTCTTTCAAAAGAATTCATTCAATAGTATTATAAGGAAATAAATCAAAACTAAGAAAATAAAGTTTTTCATTATACTACTTCTAGAATGCTAAGAAAAGATGAAAGATAAACAGTTGATGATGAATAAGAGAGGTGGAGAAACACAATAGAAAGAAAGATATGGGTGATTAGGGCTTACAGTAGTATGAAGAAGACGAATATAAATTGTTATTTCTTAAAGAAAGATTTAACAGATAATTAAGTTATGATTTTATTATAATTATTATTTATTATTTACATATCTAATCAAATCTTAGTTACTAGTTATTAATTATAATTATTAGTTTTTAATTAAGTTTTAGTTTTAAGGGTGTTTATGTAATTTTAGTTATAACCCATATGTCATACTTTTTTTATGAGTTTCGTACTTGTACTACGTGGCACATTTTAGACTAGACACGACCATGGGCCGGTTCCGGGCCGGTTCATACAGGTTCACGGTTCACTTTATCCGGAACCGGAACCGGCCCGTAATATGTACGGTTCGGAAATTTATATTTATATATATAAATTTAAAATAAAAATACTTAATGGATAAATAAATTAAAACAGTTACTTTTAAATAGAAAAAAACAAAAGGAAATAAATAAAATGACTTTAACTTAATTTTATAGGAAAAAATGGGGTGTGAGGGTGAACCGCCGGGCCGGCCCGACGGTTCACGGTTCACCAATTCATAGAACTGGGCCCGTCCCGGGAACGACGTGCCGGTTCACGGGTTCCGGGCCGGTTCACCTGTCAACGGGTTGGGCCGGATCATCAACGGGTCGGTTCGGGCCGGTTCCGGACCCAAAACCGGGCCATGGCCGTGTCTACCCTAGACACCCCAAGCTTGTAACCACAAGGAGTTAAATACTATTTACCTTAATTTTTATTACTAACAGTCAATTTTTTTTAATATAATAGTTAAGTCATTTCTAAAGGAAAGATATACAGTAGAACATCGATAAATTAATAACCTCGCTTAAATAATAGATTTTCTCGGTCCTGACTTTGGAACAACATGCTAAATTAATAATTCGCTAAATTTATAAGATAATACACATTCGAAAATTTTAAGAAGCCCCATATATTATATAAATTAATAATGCATTAAAATAATTTTTAAATTACATGGTTCGGTACATATTTTATAAATCTATGAAGGCACCATCAATCTCGTCCCTCACTTTTCTAAACATAGTTAGAACTCTCGATATAGTTTTTTCATAACTCAATATAAAGTCGTTCTATACCATTAATGCTTTAAGAGTTTCTGTTTGTGAAACGGGCTCTGTAGTGCATTGATACAATGAATAATATAAAGTAAAAATATTTTAAAAAAATGTATTTATTGAAAATAATAATAAAAGTAATTCCATAAATTAATAAGTTATTAATTAATATATAAATTAATAATTATTAATTTATCGATAAGTTAATATTTCGCTAAATTAATGAAATTTTGATGGTCCCAACAGTATTAATTTATATAGGTTTCATTGTGCCTAACAAGTTGTATTGGAATTTTTTCTCTCTCTCTTTTTTTTAAAACCTTAACAAATAGGAATTTGTTTCGTGAAAGAATAAAAGTGAAATAAAAACATAAAATCTTTGACCTGGTGATTAATTTTTGGCTAAAAATGAAAAAAGAAAAAAAGAAAACAAAAAAAAAGAAAAAAAAAAACAGGATAGATTTGGTTAGAGTGCAAACAACAAAAGAAGCGGAGGAGATCGCGTGTGGGTATACTAATAGATCAAACCCACCCCCAAATTTAGTAACGAAAGCCCATCTCTTCAAGTCAAACTCACACAAACAACAACTCGCGACTGTTTCTCGCCGGTGTCGTCTTTTCTCCGGTCATCGTCAATACTTTGATGATCGATAGCGCTACGGCTGACACGTCGGCCTGTGCGACGGGGCACGATGGCGGTGTATTAGCCGGTGATTCGTCGCTGGTGGTTGAGAAAGGTTGAGAGAGAATTTTTTACAGAAGTTTGACAGCCAAGTAAATGAGGAAGGGTACGGGAAGAAACGGCAAATTGCTGCCTAATTCGTTCAGAATTATTTCTTCGTGTATCAAAACTGTCTCTACAAATGCTAGCACCGTCGTTCGCTCCGCCGGTGCTTCCGTTGCCGCCTCTGTTTCTTCATGCGTTGACGATCGCAAAGAGCTGGTAGCTATTTTTTGAACTGCCTTTTCAAGCTTGTTTTCTATTATTTTTTAGTTTAAATGATTTTTGTTGATTAATTTTGTTTTCTTTAGTACTTGATTTAAATTGAATTGGGGCGCTTCATCCTTGTATATATAAATTTCCAATCATTGATTTAATCATGTATTTTGGTCTATTATTTTTTAGTTGAAATGATTTTTGTTGATTAATTTAGTCTTCTATAGTACTTGATTTAAATTGAATTAGTGCGATTTATCCTTGTATGTATAGATTTCCAATCGTTGATTTAACTATGTATTTTGGATGATTTGCGTCAAAACTTCATTTAATCATCACCAACTGTAGCCGAAAACCCGGTGGCCGTTTCTAACTTTCTGTGGTTGTATTTATCTAATTTGGTAGTTTGCCGTAAAACTTCTGTTCAGTCAGCTTATTTACTTGCTCTTCTTGGCCTTAATGCTCTAGTTGATTTCTTATAATTGAGACGAGTTTCTATTGTTTCGTAAGTGTTTAGTGGACTTCGTTTTCTAGATTAATCGGAAATAGCGAGATCTTTCTACATATAGCAGCGGTATTCACCCATATGGTATTTTATTGAATTGGCTCGCAGTTGATTATAACAATTTCTCTTTCTGGATGGTATACCAGAAATAAGACGCAAGAAACAATTAAGATGCTTAAATAATAGTGCACTTACTGTAAAATCCTAATTAGATTCTGCAAAGAATGACTCTTCCGGTGAAGAACTAGTTATGATATTTAAAGGAAGGATTTTATGACTGGAGTTTCTTTCTGTGTTTCGTTTACTATTTGAGGTTCCACTTAATGATTGTTTAATATATGAAGATATCAATTTTAAAGAGATCTTGCTCCTAATTAAGTTAGTTATGTTGATTTATAAGTGAAGCATGCACCTATTTCACCCATGAATTTCGTAACTCAATATTATACTTCATCCTTCATCATCTCTTTATTTTAGGATGAAAGAAATTATAGCATGGTAATTCATTTGTCCTGGTTTGATTTTAAATGTTAAATTGACGTTTAGCCTATCAGTGATCTGGCTAGTTCTTTTGCAGGAAGGTTACACTCCTAGAAACGTTGATCGATGTTTATCTAGAACATTTATTTAGATATATTCGACATTGTCCGTTTGCCCATAGTACTCTGTTATTTATTGAGTTTGTATACAAACTGAGTTATTGCTTTATACAGTGATTAAAATTCAAGCAGGGTTAAGGCTGTGTTGCTTTGATGAAAACATATAGTCGATCTGATCCTTTGTGTCAATCAGGTATTATGGGCTGCCTTCGACAAATTAGAGCTCAGTAAAACTGGCTTCAGACGCGTCCTATTACTTGGTTATTTAAAGGGTTTTCAAGTCTTTGATGTGGAGGATGCCTCTGGTTTAAGTGAATTGGTCTCCAGGCGTGATGGGCCAGTTACCTTCTTGCAGATGCTTCCGTCTCCTGCAAATAGTGATGGTGCTGAAAAGTACAAATCATCACATCCTATACTGGTGGTTGTTGGAGGGGACGAGGATGAAAGAATCACCCTGCCTCAGAATACTGGCCAAGGACCTGCCAGAAATGGTTCAGCAGAGTCATCTTCTTGGAAATCTTTTGACCCCCCAACTGCTGTTCGTTTTTACTCAGTGAAAACAAACGAATATGTAAAGGTTATCGACTTCAGATCTCCTGTCTTTATGGTTAGATGCAGCCCTCGTGTAGTAGCTATTGGTCTTGAAGAACAAGTAAGTATCTATTCATATAATATTTCTCTAGCGTACGGGAAAAAAAATGCTCGTGGACATGTAGATATTTCATGTAAGGAAGGCACGAAAAATTAGTAGTCGGGTATCTAAGGATGTTTAATGGTCGGATTGTATTATTGGCTTTGTATATCTTGTTCCTTCTATTTTGCATTTTTCCCTTCTGGCCTACAGAAGGGAAAATTTGAGTGCTCCGAGTCGATTGGAAGCAGAACTTTATATTAGTTACACTGGGTTAGGCAGATTCCCAACCTGTATATTAGTTACACTTACTGTTGCATATATGTATTACTAATAGATATGTGAGAATGGGATCCCTTACTAATAAGATACAATAAATGGTTGTTGTATACACTTTTTGAGAAGATAGACTGCATTGATACAGTCCCTCGGATGGTGTATGTAGCCAAGTCGATGTATCTGAACCAGATTCCTTATGAAACTAATGTAATGATCGATGGTTGTTTATATTCATTTGGCAGGTATACTGCTTTGATATACTTACACTTGAGCAGAAATTCGCTGTCGTTACATATCCTGTTCCCCGATTTGGAGAGCAAGGGGCGGTTGTAGTCAACAGAGGTTATGGTCCAATGGCTGTGGGCCCAAGGTGGTTGGCTTATTCTCCTAGTCGTCCATTTCAGTCCAATACAGGTAAGGTGAGTCCAAAGAGCCTCGTCTCTAGTGTTAGTCCATCAACTTCTCCAGGCAATGGCACTCTTATGGCTCGTTTTGCGGTGGAATCCAGCAAACACTTAGCTGCTGGTATACTCACTCTAGGGGACACGGGATACAAGAAACCGTCAAATTACTGCCCGGAGAATGGTGGATTAGTAAGTGACAAATAGTGGTAATCTTTTTTTTTTTTTTTTGTCATTTTGGTAATTCTGAGATAGAAGGTACAAATTTTAGATTGTGCCCTTCATTTGCCATGATTACTTCAAATTGAAATTGGTCTGTCGATACTAATCTATTTTCTTATTTCTTCGATTAATTAATTGCAGGTTTCTGTGAAGGACCTAGTTTCCTCAGAGGTTATATCACAATTTAAGGCTCATACAAGTCCAATAGCTGCTTTATGTTTTGATCCGAGTGGGACCCTTCTGGTTACTGCCTCAGTACATGGAAATAACATAAATATCTTTCGGATCATGCCTTCTCATGCATGTAACGGATCACAATGTAGTGACTGGAGTACTTCGTATGTGCATCTTTACAAGATTTACCGCGGGATAACCGCTGCTGTAAGTATATGCATGGAAGTACTTGTATTTTGTTCTCCCCTTTACCCTTTATTAAAGGTCTCAAGTCCGACGAGTTACTTGGCCCTTTTGCTTTTGTTCTATGTATCAGGTCATTCAAGATATCTGCTTTAGTCACGATAGTCAGTGGATTGCAATTGTTTCTTCAAAAGGAACTTGCCATATTTTTGTTCTATCTCCGTTTGGAGGAGATGATGCTTTTCAAGCTCTGCATACTCATGTACAAGGTACCTCTCTATTTTTAGCTTCAGCTCCGCCATGGTGGTCGACTTCATCCTTCACTATAAACGAGCAACATTCTTCGCCTCCACCTCCTTGCACCCTCTCCGTGGTTAGCCGGATAAAATGTAGCGACTCGGGTTTGCTTAATTCGGTAAGCAATGCCGCTGCTTCAATGGTTGGGAAGATATGGGTGCCATCTGGAGCTGTTGCTGCTATTTTTCATAACGCTAACTCCAAAAGTTCCCCGGATTTTCATCGGAGTGCTACTTCACTACAAAATATCTTAGTGTATACACCATCAGGTTTCGTTGTTCAACATGAAGTTCAGTCATCAGTGGGGATTGAAGTGAGTGATAATAAAACCGAGTCTTGGTCAGCTCCACCAATAAATCCACAAAATGAGGAGTTAAGGGTGAAAGTGGAACCTATACAATGGTGGGATGTGTGCCGAAGATTGGATAATCTGGAGAGGGAAGAATGTATTTCTGGGATTGATGCCCAATCCAAAACATCTCTCGAAGAGAATGCGAGTGCTGTGGACTCGCCAGAGAGATCACACTTGTATCTGTCCAATGCTGAAGTGCAAATAAACTCATATAGATTACCCATATGGCAAATGTCGAAGGTATGTCTACTTAGATTCTGATAATCGTTATCTTTCATGATTATTTTTCCTCTAAATAGTATGCAATGATCATACATACAGGTGCATTTCCATGTTATGGAACCTCCAAAAGCAGAATGCTGTTTTGGTGGAGAGTTTGAAGTTGAGATGACTTCTTCACATGAAGTGGAAATAAGACACAAGGATTTATTGCCTATATTTGACCATTACCCTAGAGCTAAGTCCGGCTGGATTGACGGGTGAACACTTTATAACTTCCTGTCACTTATTTTAGGTCACATCTTGTTTGTTTGATTGATTCTTGACTTGTGCTTTTTTAATACACAATTGAATTTGTTTCTTCATAAGCTGTCAATTATGGTGAGTTTTCTTATTGGCTTCTGCATGCTGTTTTTTAATCGAGCTAGCATAGGAAAAGTTCGAAATATATAGGTCAGCAGTACCTGTTGGTACTAGAAAAAAATTGTACTTAATTATATGAAGACTCTTACTTATCATTGCTTCATGAGTACGCTCAGTGGTACTGGTTATGGTCCCGATTGCTATGTTTGATTCAGTTTCTTATGCAGATATATCCCGACGGAGGGGAGAGATTCCTCTGATAGTTCTCAAGCTAGAGAAAAGACGAATGAAGCTAGTATTATTTGTCACTCAGACCCGCCATCATTTAGTTCTACTGAAAGCTCTGAAGGAGGTAATATTTATATCCCCATCAATGTTTAATTATGAGCTTCTTTTCGCTCTCTCTGCAAAATGTGATTAAGGGCAAAAGTCGCCATTCATAACAACTTATGCAAATTTAGTGTTATATACTAGCGGCAGAAACATTTTCTTCACATTTTTATAGATATAGATTATATTATGGATAGTGGTTAGTCATTATGCAAGTCATTTGATTTTTGGAAGAGAGATTACCATCATTCTCGAGGGGTTGCTTAATGGACAAGATATCTACCAATTTACTTCAAAAAAATAAAAAAATAAAAAAAATAATATAATAAATAAAACCCTTTACTTATGAACATGTTGAGATACTATTGGGTATAGACCATGCTTATATTGTAAACGAGATTCCATCAATGAACGTTGGCAAATACTTACACAGCTGGAAATATGTTTTTGCCTTCAGGGACAGAGAAAACAGTAGATTTTGGGCTGTTCTTCAAGGAAGAGTACTGCAATAAGAGTTCAACTGAAGTTGTTACTGATGAAGTCGAAACCGGTAGTAATACTCACGAGGAAAAGCCCGACGAAGAAGGATGGCTTGGTGGAATATTTGATTTTTCTGAAGAAGGTGAAATTTTCTGAAGCAATAATAATATTGTTCCGTTTTTTTTTTTTTTTTTTGTCACCATTCTCTTTGTTATTACCACTTCAATGTGCATTTTTTGTTGTTTTTTTTCTTGCAGGTTAGTGTTTCTTGTTGACAAAGATATGACCAATACACACTGATATTTAAGTAAATAAAAGTGGCCCAAGAATGTCGAGAGGACTAGGAGTGTGACGTTACATACAGGGTAACTTGAGCTCCTTCGGTTCCGTATGTATAGTTGTTTGTATATATATACTCGAAAAATGTCTGCAGAATTGAATCTTTGTAAAAAGCTGTGAATTGGGAATTTGAGCTCTGGATGCTCAATCATGTACAAATTATTGTTCATTAGTTTATTTCAGTTTGTGCAACTATATTTGTATAGAAATTGTGTGATAGGTTGTCATTTTGATTTATTTTCTTATTGCAATGTCATCCATCACAAGGTGAAATCTTTGGTACAATTTAATTGTACAAGGATGATTTGGAATGAATTATTATATGGGAGGTGCATATTTGTAAGGGGTTTTTGTGTAAGTCGCTTACCAACCATCTTTATTATTCTAGATTCGAATTATATTTTTTCGCCAATAAGCTCATTCATTTAGAGCCTGTTTGGCTAAGCTTATAAGCTCCTAAAAACATCTTATAAGATGTTTAGGAGCTTATAAGTTGTTAAAAGGTGTTTGGTAAAAAAATTGCAAAAGATCTTATTTTTTCAAAAAATAAGCTGTTAGGGAGCTTATAAGATGTTTTTAAAAAAGTACCTATACCCCACCTTTTTTCTTTAAGATCTTATTTGCTTCTTTACTAAAACACTTAAAATACAAAATTACCCTCAAATACTTTATTATATTACATGAATACTAATAATATTTATATTTTATCAAAACAACGTATTCTTGTAATCAAGATTAATAATTAGTTAAATATAATTATCATAATAATTGTAAAAAAAATTATTCTCTATTTATATTTTATATGTATATAAAAATACACGAATATTCTTATTATCTCCATAATAAATTATATTTCTTTCATCTAAAAAAAATTATATTTCTTTTACAACTTTTATTTTATATTATTATATAGTTTTATATTATTATTATTATTATTATTATTTGAAAAAATAATTTGTAAATTTTATAATAATATTTTAGGAACAAAAGTATTTGAGTCAAATAAGTTTAACAATTATACTGGCGTCATGTACTATTTTGTCATTATAGCAATAAACAGACATTTTATTTCCAAACACCTGAACAACTTATAAAAACAAAAAGTAACTTATAAGCTACATATCCAAACACCTTAAAAAATAATTTTTAAAATAAGATCTAACAGCTTATCAGCTCCTAAAACATCTTATCAGATGTAGGAGCTTATAAGATGTTTTAAATAAGCTTAGCCAAACGAGCTCTTAATATGTACTATAAATAAAAGAAAAATTAATGTATATGACAAAATTACTCCCAACCATTTTACACCCAATTCTTAATTGTAACCTATAACTTAATTAATTTTGATCACAAAAATTCAATTTTGTTTTTTTTTTTTTTTTTTCTGAAATTATTTTTTTGGCGCCGGTTTCCGGCATTGACTTTTTCGTTGTTTTTTTTTTCCTGCTTTTTCCGCCGCCGGTTTCCATATTCAAAGGAAAAAGGACAAAGGGGTGAAGGAAATCAAGAAATCTAACAAATGTTATTGAGAAGATTGATGTATCACTAAAACTGTCAAATATCTTACTAATGACGTTTAATGAATTGTTTGACCATAACAAACAATACGTTAAAAAAGTCAACAAGTGTGGAGACAATGTGATGAAGTAGTCGATCAATTGATTGAGATTCGTGTTCTCAGTATCATACATGGGAACAAATCTTTATTGAAGAAATACTATGGCATCAAGCATAGATGAAAACGCAAAAAAGATAGAGCCGCAATTATTGGAACTTTAAGGACAAGATTCATTTCAAGAGTGGTGGAATGTTACGATATAATAATTAGTATATTATTTAATTATAGGTTTTGTTAGAATTTAATTAATTAAATAGAATAGTATATTTAGGTTTTATATATATGACCGTGTGTTTAGTAGTTATAAATATTAAATATTTAAATTAGGATTTTAGGTTTTTTCTCATCTTTAAATAGTTATTTTGTGCTAGGGTTTTATTATAAAGAGAAATATTAAAGAACAATTTTCTTAGGTTTCGTAAAGAATTTTATGATACCAAGAGATCGTATCAAAATACAAAAGATATATGTCATTGTATTCTATTGACATAAAATTAGTTTAAACAAACACTCCAAAATATTTCACCTTTCCATAAAGTTACTTTTTTTTTTCTTTTCTTCATATTGTTCTCATAGAATCGATTCTTCCAAAACAAGATGGGCATCAAATTGTATCTTTATCCTTCAACTTGATAATATATTTTAGATAAATTACATTTACTTCCTCTAAGTTTAATTATTCTAATAGTTATAATTATATCTCCTCTAACTTGGAAAACTACGCATACATGTTAGCTAACACTTCCTATCGACGTTGGCGTTTTTGAACTTTGGCCAAAAATTAAGTAAATTATATTATCCTCCCCTGAGATTAAGTATTATTCCATATAGATCCCTTGTATTTTGAAACATACCAAATACTTCTTTTAATGTTTAATTTTAAGTACAAATTTGGATTTGAACTCATTAAATAGTATTTTCATTTTTATTAAAATACATTTAAAATAAAAAATATAAGAAAAGTAATTACATTGAAAATAATTCTAATCTTTTGTATATAAAATAATATTACTTTTTTCAATGTTAATAATAATTATTTTGTATACAGAAGCATAATTGTTTTAATAATAATTATTGTGGAAATAAAAATATTGTTTACTAAATTTAAATTCAGTTTTAGGTAAAATGTTTAATTCAATGAGATCTTTGTAATATTTTTAAAATTATGAGGGGTCAACATATGTGTGAGACATAGCTCAATATTTGGTTAAAGATAAAACTAGAAGTTCAAAAACGTCCACGGTCAAATGTGAAGTGTTAAGCTATTAAATGTGTATGCGTAATTCTCAAAAAAAAAAAAATGTGTCTGACTAATTTTCAAAACTAGAAGGTTGTCTAGCTGTAATTGCACATAATTTTAGAGGAGGTAAATGTAATTTACCCTTTTTATTTTCTTATTTGAAAATTTATATTTTTATATTATTTTTTTGCCCAATATAGTTTTATATTTATGACTGTATGTAAAATCATTAATTTTTCAAAATATATACACGCGGTTTATATGTATGTTTATATGTATAAGGAAACTATAGAATGTAATTTAGATAAAAGGCTCCATTACAAATAAACCAAATTTGATTCCTAATGCAATTTTGATGACAATTACGCCCTTTGCAGTCGTTGATCGTCGGTCTGAGACGTTGACCTTTTTTTTTGTTTACTTTTATCCGCCTTTCTCCGGCGTTGACTTATTTGAATTTTCTTTTTTCTGTCGCAGCTGATCGCCGGTCAACGTCGATCTCCGATGGCGTTGATTCTTTTTCTTTTCTTCTTAAACATTTTTTGGCTTGTTTACATAGTAATATTGTTATGGTTGACAGTCATATCAACTATATTATTGTTTAAGAAAATGATGTTAGCTATATTATTGTTTAACACAATAATATTGTTTAGGGAGCAGCTAAAACAAATACCCTTTTTTTTCTCACTTCAATACAACCAACATAAAAAAGAAAAAAAAAATATATAATAAATAGATAATGTCGTTATTACCCTTAATGGAAATCAATATCACTCACAAAATTTGGGTGGCATTGATTTTATTAAGGGTATTAATGTCATTACCTATTAATTTTCTATTTTTTATGTTGGTGGTATTGAAGTGAGAAATAAACGGTATTTGTTTTAGCGGTCCTTTATTGTTTATCTCTAGCACAATAATATTAACACAACAAACATCACATGGGGTAATATTAATATGTTGACCGTTCAACAAAGGCAAACATAATAAAAAACCTATAATTAATATTTATGTGGTTGACAATAATATTATTGTCAACCACAATAATATTATTGTAACGACAGTAATATTACCGTCAACAACCGTAATATTATTGTGTTTACAGTAATATTACTATAGTAGACAGTAATATTATTACGTTAATCGGTCAACAAATCAAACAGAATAAAAAGGCAAAAAAATAATAATATTGATGTAGTTGACAGTAATATTATTGCGTTTACAGTAATTTTACCGTCAACGGCAGTAATATTATTACGTTGATTGGTCAACAAATCAAACAAAATAAAAAGGCAAAAAAATAATAATATTGATGTGGCTGACAATAATATTATTGTGTTTACGGTAATACTGTCAACTGCAGTACAATTGCTGTCAGTTGAGAGTACAATTACTATTTGCGATAATACAATTACTGTCAATGACAATACAATTACGGTCAATGTTTAGTGAAGTGACAGACATAAAGAAAACAAGGATACAAATTTTAGGGAAAAAGAAAAAAGAAAAAGTCAAGCCCGGATACCGCAATTCTAGAAATCGGCGGCTAAAAAACAGAAGAAAAATAAAAATGAAAAAAGGCAGTACCGGAAACTGGCGGTGGAAAAAGTAGACAAAAAGAAAAATCAGAAAAAGTCGACGCCGGAGATCGACGGTAAAAAAATTAAAAAAAAGTTTAAAAAAAGAAAAAGTTAAAAATTGGACTTTTGTTGTCAAAATTGATGAAATTTAATTAAATTGAGGTTACAATTAAGAATTGAGTTTAAAGAATTGGGTGTAATTTTTCATATATACATTAATTTTGTCTTTATTTATAATATATATTAAATGATGAACTTATTGACGAAAGAGATATACCTGCTGAACCTAGAATAACAAAGATGATTGGTTAGGTAGTTGAGGAAAAAAACCCTTAAATAAAAATTGGCTGGCTCCCTCACAGCTTTGGCAAGTCAATTCTTACGTTTCAATTACCCGTTATATATATACATACATATATATATATAATCGTCTGTCATTTCTGAAGAGATCTGCAATTGACAGAAACAACACCTTTTGATTGCGTTATTTGTACGGAGGAGGAGGAGCTTCGAGCACGTTGTAGCTATGGCGACTGTGGGCCAGTTGCAGAAACAGTTTGTTGACTTCTCCACTTCTCTCTACCGCGAGGTATTACTACTCTAATTTTTATTTTATTTTTCATTTTATCTTTCCATTCATTCACTCCTTTACGAGATAAGGAAGACACAATTACAGCCGAACCTTTTTTCTTTTTTTTTTAATTTGTTGTTTCCAATCTCTTTATCCATGATAAAAAAACTGAAATTCCGGATGAATTTCAATTGGTTCATTCAATTTTGGTGAATCTAATTTGTGTGTGTTTGATTTGAAAGGGGTTTTTGGATGATCAGTTCATACAGCTACAGAAACTGCAAGATGAGAGCAATCCGGATTTTGTATTCGAAGTTGTTTCCCTCTTCTTTGAGGATTCTGAGAAGCTTCTCAATAATTTGGCCATTGCCCTGTCAGTTTCATTTCAACTTTATTCCTAGTTTTTTTCAACCCCTCTTTTTGAATTTTACTAATTTTTTCTTTTTTTTGAAATTATGTAGCCAACAGCAGGTTGTAGATTTTAAGCAGGTCGATGCCCATGTTCATCAGTTCAAAGGCAGCAGTTCCAGGTAATAACTTTCTCCCTTTCTTCTTTCTTGTTTTGTGTGTATGTCTGTGTGTGTGGTGTGTGTGTGTGTGGTTTCCTTATCCTGAAGAAAAGAAGATAATCTTTTCATGGTCCTCCTTTTCTTTTGCTGTAATCAGCTTATACAATTTATTTAATTTGCATAATGGGTGCTTGTATTAACAAAGATTCAGATCTGGCTGTTCTTTTGAATGGATTAATTATTTTAGTAGGGTTGTTCGATTCGAGCTATTTCGAATATACATGACATCTGGTTGTTTTCTTTCTTGAAAATACCAGCATAGGTGCACACAGGGTGAAGAATATGTGTGTTGCCTTCAGAAACTTCTGTGAAGAGAAAAACCTCGATGGGTGAGTTCAACTTTGTAATCGTTTTACATTCCTTTTTTCTTAAATAAGAAACTATTAATCCCATCGATGAAATCGTCCATTCGCACAGAGGATATCCGGTAGCTTATTGCTGAAAATTTTTTATGTCTTAGAAATTAGCTATGTTAGCAGTTGTGCCTAATGGATTTGTCTATATGCTAGTGGTATGAACAGTTCTTTTTATAAGTTGAATAGAAACTTAGCATGAAACAGGATAACAACAATCGTCACTCCCAATATTTGTTTGTTGCAGTATTATGATTTAATGTAACGGAGATTACTCTGTGACAGTACAATCACGTCTCGTGTTCCATTTTCAGTTGTTAAAAATATAAATTTCAAAATAAAAGGTAGAGGTTATAGCCTTCAAGTCACAGTGCATGACTAGGGATGTATGAATAATGTTGATTCTGGAGTTTGACTGGTTTTACATACTGTCATTTTTATTCGAGTAGGATATTTTATAGCTAAGAAAGTATTGGTGCAGGTGTTTGAGATGTTTGCAGCAAATAAATCACGAGTACTGTCTTGTCAAGAACAAGCTCGAAAACGTGTTCAGGGTAAGCATTCCTGGATCTTCACATTTAATGATGAACAATACTTTTACTCCAACATCATTTTGTATGTGATCTTGTTAGTTCCAAACGACCAAATTTGAATTATCTGAATCATTTTTTATCAACTTTGTTTTACATAATTTTCTGGATAGAATTTAGATTCCGTTCGTAATCTCAGCACTGAATTGTAATGCCCTGTTTTAAATAAATGTAGCTGGAGCGACAAATCTTGGAAGCTGGTGGAACAATCCCGTTAATAGCATAACTCTCGAGCTATATTACATGGTAAGAACACAGAACGGGGCTCTGCTTTGACCGCTAGTTTTTGTGTTAGATTTTAGATCTAAATATGTCTGAGTTGAATGGGATGTGTGAATTAAAATTACATGTTTTCTTGATTCCTCCTCTCGTTTTATGTTTTCTTCTATATTGGCATTTGTAATGTTGCATGTAGCTGTTAATTACGTTTCTTCTACTGTGTTCTTCTTTGGTTTTGGTTTTGGTTTTAACTTTTTAAGGTTGTAGCCTAGTACTGTTGATCTTGTAATTTAAGAAAGAGAACTGATTACGATGATTGTGGTTCGAGTAATCATTTTTCTTTTTAATTTGTCAAAAATCGCAATTTGCTTCTCTTGATACGGTGGTGTTGATGCTACACCCGGTGAAATACAAACTTAATTAAGTGTTTTTTTTTCTTGAAAGCGGCTGCCATAATATGAGACGGTTAATTTCGTTTTATGAGATCTTGGAAGTAAATGAGCTGCAGCAATGGTGTTTATGTATCAAGATTCTTTTTTTAGGGCTGTGTCTTCTGATTTAGCACTATCCCAACCAAGTTTATTGAAACTTGTTGCTGCCATTTAGGGCCTTCCCAGGTGTACTCTATTTGACCTTTGGTCTATCTTTCTTTTAGAGTACTAGTACTTCACCCGTGGGTATTTATTGTGAAAGAAAATGTTTAATAGTAAAAAAAACTCTCGAAATAGCAAGATCAATAGTTGATATGCAATACAAAGAAATAGAAATATATTAAAAAAAAAAAAAAAAAAAAAAAAAAAAACTCTCATTTCATGATGAATTAATTAGTTAAGCCAAAATAACTTTGTAAAGCTAAACAACGAAGATTCAATATACATATACCAAAATGAACGCATTATTGGTCCCAAATTTGTACAACTATAACTACTAATTAATTCAAATTCTTAATTTCATCCAAACAATTATTGTTGTTGGGTTTGATAACAACTGCTCTAAATGCATGTAACGAATTCAATACATTGTGAGTGTCCTACATATTTTGTATAGGAGTCATACAAAATAAGTAACATGTTACCAAGACAATACCAATATAAATGTTTAATGAAATAAAACCATTTTACACTAAATTACCTGGATAAAAAATCTTGAGTGGAGTTGATAGTAAGTTCCTATTGCAATGCAAATCATACTACAAATGAGAAATGACCATACATGTAAGTAACAAAAAAATAAACGTTGTTATATAATATTGCATATAATTTTATATAGTTACCTTCATATACGTTGAAAAACATCATTGTATACCACATTGTTCATAACGTTGGTTGTATCGCCGGATTCTGACTTGATAAAAATATTTATGCCACTTCTACTCTTAACTCTAGACAGTAAGACATATCGATTCTTAGGAAATGTCGAATCAATCGATTTGTCCTTATTTCAACAAAGGAAGCACATGCTTCTTGATTAGAAGCACTTTTTTTGTCTTTGTTCCAATTCAATACTAAACAAGTCCGAACTAATTGAATATTTGTATCAAAAATCCCTCGAATTGGTTTCCCATTGCCATAAATGATATAATTGACAACTCGAAGTTGCACATATTATCCCTTTCCTGCAACAAAGCTGGGGGAAAAGCGTTGATAAAGTTATATCGTCTGTTATTTCATATGTGATGCAGACCGAACCAAAACAAAATATTTTTTCTTGCCAGGTGTGATCCGTTGAACATAGATCCAATTTTTCCATTTTTTTGATTCCTTATAAATTATTTTTCATGTTCCTGGTTGTATCAAAACGTCGCTATGTCGACAGCAAGACATAGAGTTGTCTGTGACTGAACACATGTCTGAGCAAGTACAGTCCTGCCTGAGAAAGAGTATGCCCTTGACTTTTATTGATTGTCGTTGCAAAGGAGACCATCGGCGGAAACTGACGTTGCTAGAATTTAATAGGCAATGCATAGTTGGACGGTATCAACGTCATTCGAGGAATGAACACCATATCGCCAACATGTTTACCGGTGAGGATCTTGCAGCTGAGAAGGTGTTTTCCCATATTAATAACATTAAGCCTGGTTACATTGCGCAATCCTCTGGCCTGATCAATATTTCTGATGAGCAAAACGGGAACACCTTTTTTCAACGTCAACCTGCGGTGGAATTTAAGAGCATGATATGGTGTTGAGAAATTCGGTGGAATATATTTCTGCTTTGACATCTGATAATAACTCCTCCTTGCACATACTATCGTAGCTGAAATAGACCTTCTCTTCTTCAGTTATGATCGACAAAAAATGATCATTCACAAAACCGACACTTTCGCGGTGCAAGAATTGCCTTGCCCTTGAAGTACTCAAGAGTGAAAAGGTTGCTCGCCCAATTAGGATAAACAAACTCGATGAGATCCAAAAATGGATCTGCAAAATCACAAATCTGCAAAAATCGGCATTGGGGGTAATTACTCAAGCTTTTCCTGGTGTTTTGCAATATTTTTTCTATTTCCGTCAAAGCGTAGTTCCTTAGAGTATCATCGGACAATGGTAGACCTTCAATATAGTATAATATAAAAAATTAACAAAATGTGGCGATTATAAAAAAAATATACGTGTAATTTAATCATTTATAATAATTTGTGGAACAATGTAAGACGTATTGAGCATACTTGAATTGGTGCGACGTTGTTGTAGTTTGTAAGCAATGTCCTCCGCGAATTCCTTCCAACAACACTCCCTCGCATATCCAGGTCTACTCATATTATTCGCAATCAAAAGTAGACAAATAATCGTCTCACATAGTCACCATTGGCCCACTCGTTTGCCTCATTTATGTCATCTATGTATTTGTCGTCGTCTAACAGTCCCAGTACAAAGCACGCATCTTTACAGGTTAGGTAGACGTGATTCTAAATTGTTCTAAGATCCTCGTAACACGTGCAACCTCTCTGAAAGTTCAACAACAATCTCAAGTAATAGTTTTCACCCCTGCCCGGCGGTATATTCGTAACCCTTCTTATCGAGAATCCTATTTTTATCGGCATCCAACAACGAGATTTTCCGTATACACATATTTATGTGGAAACTCTTCATACCTTAATTTTGTAGCTTCAGAGTACAACTTATTCGCATGGAACCACACCAGGAACATCGTTTGCTTTGTTGTCGGCTTGTTCATTACATCAACTAATGAATTGTAAACACATCAGCCTGATTGTCTGGTAAATGAAAGCTTAATCTAATCACGAGCGGGTCTCTAAAGTGAATGTCAAAGCTAAACAACATCCAAACAGTCTCACATGGCGAAAGGTATCTGCAGTCGTATGTTGAAAAAACAGATAAACGGTGTTTTTGATTTAACATAATCATAGTGTTACAACTTAAATACAATAGGGTAAAGGTCTAGGGTTCGAATCCCCCCTCCCCTACTTCCCTTGTAATGGACTTGAATTTACTCAAAAGAAAACTTAAATACAAAACTAATTAACAAACTTATCCTAATTTCAGGGAACACTAACCTACTACTAACAACTAACTAAGTATCCTACAATCACGAGATACTATTTTGACTAATTATTTTACTAAACTAATATTAATCATTTAATTAAATAAATAATTAATTTAATATCTTTAACACCCTCCCTTAAACTGATTTCTACAAAGAAAACAGTTTACAATTAAATTTATTTCTTCTTCGATATACTTCTTTTGCGAAAGAACATATATCAACTCTGCACATCGAGAGCAAATGCCTTAACCAAACACCATCAATTTGGAGGGTGCAATTTTTCAAACGCCTCCGTCAATCTTCACTGACTGACACTCCATCCATTTAGCACGAGAACTCTTAATTTCTTTTGCGAAAGAAATACATTAGGTGTTGCTAATCGAACACTTCTACTTTAATGAAGTATTCCACCATATTCTCGTACTAAAAATGGACACATCACCTGCGGGTGATTTCACCTCATTCTTAAGGCAACATTTATGCTCTCATTGTACCAAATCGCCTTGAAGACTACACTATCTTCTAATTGTTTAACAAGAGTTTTGCAACCAATGCATATTGCACTCAACTACAACGAATTTCAAGCACTATAAGCAGCAAATACCCATATGTTCCGAACAAGTATTAACAAATTTCTCCAAAAGACGGAGTTTCACTGAGCAACTCACTTAGTGAACCCATTCTTCGATTACTTGAAATCCTTTACCACAGGATTCAAATTCATCCAAATCCTAGACGCCAAATCATCATTATTCTTTCAAGATTTCAACATTCGTTCACCTCTTCAGCATTCCCATCAAGTGTTCGGGATTTTTGTCACCCTTCAAAACTTTCTTGAATGGCCTGCCATGCCACCACGGTTTTCTACCAGGCCTAACCAGCCGCACCACCGGACATGCTTTCCTATGCCGAAAATAATTGCATCTCCCCATATATGTGCGGATATGGGGTGCAACTTTCACCTTCGACGTAGCCTCCTCCGGAACTTCTTCCACTTTAAGATTGGTGTTGCCTCAAATCTTCTAATCTTCCCGACGAGTTTGCCAAACGTGCTCTCATTTGCCGAGTATCGTCTCGTCTGTGTCGGATTTGGCATTGGTTGCCTCCACGGTGTCACAAATGGGATGGTTCGTCTTGCCTTGCCAACGTCATCAATCCTTCAAGTCTTCGTCATCTCACTGCGCCGCCTTCTATTTCACCTTGTATGGCCTCGTGGATGCAGAATCTAGGTTGCCTCTGCCCCACCGAAATTAGGAGAAGACTGCCTCACCTGGATTATCAAGTGTTCGTCGATGCAAACCACGGATTGCATGTTGTTGCTGCTAAACATTCAAGTCTCAAGAACCGTATTTTGCTTGAATAAATATCCCTTAGGTCCTTCATTTATCGAGTAAGAGGAATCCTTTTTCTGTTGCAAAATCGTGCAACCATCGCTCCTAGGCCGCTTTGGCAACACCTCTCCTGATTAAATCAAAGAGTGGAGCTCTCTTTGAACATTGGTTGAGTTTTAGTTTTTCATCCTAGAATTGCTAGGAAAGATTCAGCCACTCATGAATATTCACTTACCAATATTCTCTTGACTCTCTCGACCTCCATCCCTCTTTTTTTTTTTTCTTTTTTTCTTTTCTTTTTGATAAACTCACTTCTCAATTCTCATACCCTAGAGAAGATATGATTAAAATCTTACACAATAAATAAAAGAGTTGGATCACAAGTCAGGATCCAAGCTCTGATACCATGTTGGAAAAATCGATAAACGGTGTTTTTCATTTAACATAGTCAGAGTGTTACAACTTAAATAGAAAACTAATTAACAAATTTATCCTAATTTCAGGTAACACTAACCCACTACTAACAACTAACTAAGTATTCTATAATCACGGGATACTATTTTGACTAATTATCATACTAAACTAATGTTAATCATTTAATTAAATAAACAATTAATTTAATATCTTCAACATCGTAAGACATCTCTATCTCATCACGACTTTCAGAACTTGCACCCGGATTATTTCAATAATAAAATATCGTTGTACCCCGATCTTGTCCTTTGTGGACGCACTTGAACAAATACTTTATCGACTTACTCTGGGTGGACAACTCGAAATTAATGTTTGCTTTGTACTTTTTGAGTAGAACACGGTTACACGGCACGACGAAGCCGTTATCGAGATACGTTTTCTTTTTAACCATGGTCCTTCAATTTTCTCTTCTTCTATACACCGGATAACCATCTTCATCGGTATCCGTACGGTTGACAAAACTCTTTGGAAATCGCTTCGTGCAAATCCCATCCTTCATGCATGGAGAGTTTCATTAGCCAAACCACACGGGCCATGAATTATATGCTTTTACACCAAATCGTATATGTTTAGGTACGTTACCTTATCACGGATTTCAGCGCATATGATTTTATGTATGTCTTTTGATGTCTTCAGTTTTTCATCTTTGTGAAGTCAAATCAATAAGTGTGCATGTGGCAGACCACGCTAATGAAACTCAATTGTGCAAACATCTGAATTTTTTTATAGTTTAAATGTATTTGATATTATTTGAAAATAAATCATTTCAATAATTGATCGAAGACAATATTTATGATATTATAAGAGTATGGAATATGTAAAATATTTAATATGTTATTATGTGTGTAAAGTATAATTTGATACTTACATGCTCTAATGCGATCAAATAAATATTTGGCCTTTCTTCATATCTGACATCAGACTATCGAGCTTCATCTTAAAAGCTCGAGTAAGAATATCGAGACGGTCTTTAGGTCTTAAATTAGATCGTTCAACGCCATTTATATTTCCGGCAGCTGTGGATTGCATGTTATCGTGATGAACAACGATGAAAATCTAATCTAGTTGCATATTTGAAGAGCATCGACGAAGTTGTCAAACATGCATGTTGGATCTTGGGTAAAACTACATGGTAGTATAACCCTCGTACTAATGGATTTAGCATCCATATCTCCCTTTAAATTACTTTCTTCGATACACTTGTACATGTCAACTCTCAGCTTATTCTGGTTAAATCTTATGAATTTGAGTCTTTTTTAATTCAACCATTGAAAATACGTCGACCATGAATTGCTGGTACAATTTTTTCGAGTACAGAAGTACCGCGTTGTTGCCAAATGTTTTTTGGATCCTGTAAACAAAGTATTGACGCATGGTTAACTTTTTTCGTGTAAGTGTACCACTTTTTGATGTTTCTCTCAACAGTATATCTTCTCTATACCGATCCTCACCTAAGGAAATATTAGAGGATACTGCAGTACAAGATATAGCGGATGCAACTCACTAATTCATTAATGCTTCTTCGATCGGGTCTCCACCACAATGTCTCTAACACCTCCCCGAGTTTCAAAATCACCAACAATGAGTCCTGCGATTTCATAATACTTTTTTGCTTTTATAATATTTTGTTTGTTTATTTTAACAAAAAAATCTCAAAATTAAATACAATATTTTAAAAAACTTATATAAGTGATATAAAGTGAATAATAAAATTATATAATTAATTATATTTAACTTCTAGAATAAAAAAAGTTCAAAAGGCAAGACAACTAGCGTTGGTCGACAAACAAGATTCTAAAAAATGAAACAGTGAAAAATTGGCAAATGAGAATAGACACAATGAAAGCTTGAACTTTCATGAATGACATCCTAAATTAATTTGTATATATAGATTAACTATTAAATATAATATATTTCTGGGTCGGTTCCAATAAGATCCGTAATCCGACCCAGAACCATCCGATTCTAGAAACTTAAACCCATTACCCGACCCAATACTATTAACTTACCCAAACCTGCCCCAAACGGGTCAGTTCCGGGTCTAAGACCCAGCAAACCCTTACCCACTGCTATCCCTATCCCTATTTACAATTGTTATAATTGCTGAGCGTAGTTTTCTCTAACATTTTTTCCTAAAATATTAATTATAATATTTACAGATTACTTTAGTTTCAAATAAAAAAAAAAAGTAATATAAAACCTTATACTATTAATTTTATTACTATTAAACACAGTAAAATTAATTATACTACAGTTTAACACAGTAATATTGCTATATTAATCTCTAGCACAGTAATATTAACACAACAAAAGTCATTATTATTGTGTAATAGAGTAATATTAATATGTTGACCGTTCAACAAAGGTAAACATAATAAAAGGCCAAAAGAATTAATATTACTGTGGTTGACAATAATATTATTGTAACAACAGTAATATTACCGTCAACCACAGTAATATTATTGTATTTACAGTAATATTATTACATTACTCCGTCAACAACTCAAACAAAACAAAAAATCCAAAAAAATAATAATATTGATGTGGTTGACAGTAATATTATTGTGTTTACAGTTATTTTACTGTCAACTACAGTAATATAATTACGTTGACTTGTCAACAAATCAAACAAAATGAAAAAAAAAAAACCAAACAAATAATAATATTGTCGTTGAATCTAATTGTACTGTCAACGACAGTACAATTACGTTAATGTACTGTCAACGACAATATAATTACGTTAATTTACTATCAATGACAGTATAATTACTGTTAATGACAGTCCAATTACAGGCAACGTTTAGCGGCGGGCGTAAAAAAGAAAAAAAATCGAAAAAGTCAACGCAGAAAATCGATGGTGGAAAAAACAGACCAGACAAAAAAAATTAAAAAAAATTGAAAAATCAACGCCGGAGACCGGCGGCAAAAAAATAATTTCTGAAAAATTAAAGTCAAAATTGATTAAATGGGGGTTGAAATTAAGAATTTGGTATAAATGGTTGGGGGTAATTTTGTCATATACATTATTTTTTCTTTTAATACATATTAAAGGGATGGACTTATTGACGAAAGAAATATAGCCCATGAACCTAGAATAATAAAGATGGTTGGCTAAGCACTTATGCACAAAAAGCCCATTTAAAAAAACTACAACATTTATTGTTGTCATGATGCAAGTAATAATCGGTGAAGCATCATCAAAGTTTTCATTTGAGCCCTACTAATGAATGTAGGTATAAATCACAAAGTAGCCCACCACCCTTTGAAATGATGAAGCGGCCGTTGGAGATTGTTCCGTGAATGTAAATCTTCCTGCAAATTACTCATTCAAAGAACTATCCGAGAGGGGTTGCTTCTCCTAATCACTTCAATAATAAGTTAATAACTATTTCTTTAATTTTAAAAATATTTTCATTTCATATTATCTGGTACCATAGATTTTCAATATTGCACTAAATGTATTTTTACCTGTTTTAACCTTATTAATTTAAGTTATTTAACTCTTAAGTATGAACTCTCTCTTTTCATATCATTAAATGATGAAGGTTACTTAGTATTTTTTATGTGTTTTTCCTAAAATTATAACACATGTATTGAAATTTTTAATATTTGTACAAAGCCAAAAATGACAACTAATTACAAATTGAGGGAGTAATTATTACCAAGTGCGTATATAAATAGTAATACGATAATTATTACCTAGAAAGGATGATCTAGTTGGCGGGTATTTTTGTTTTTTTAAACGACTTCCGATAATTGACCACAATTTAACCCTACATAATTAATCGGCAAATTTCTAACTTTATCTTGTCGCACAAGTCTTGCACAATGCAATGTACACCTTTTGTATGGCTTGTGAACCATTCCCCATTTCCTAAATAATAGTCGTTTTTTATATTTTCACAAATCTTTAGAACCTCAATAAATATGTTTAGATTTTAGAAAAATAGATATTGTTAGACCAAAGTACACTTATTTATTAATTATTTCAGAAAGAGTGTTGAAGATTTAATAAGGGCATAATTGAAAAATATGTTATTAATGTAATATTGGGATTCTAAAGTGATAGGTAATATGGAAGAAAAAAAATCTTAAAAGTAATAAATATTATGGCTAGAGGAAGTATATATCAATGCATATTTATGATTGTCGTTACTTTTTCAACAAAAATTGATATGATAAATAATTATTTCAATTATAAGAAAAGTTGGCCAAATATTTAAGCAACCATTATTGGACATAGACGAGATCAATTAATAATCCCAGATAAATATGTCAGGATCTTGTTGATGTGACCACCATTTTCATAATTACACATATTTGTCAAGTTCCATGACATCATTATTTCAACTTTTATTACTCTACAATTGTTTTAAATCATTATTTACATCCTTTTGGTGAGCATTGAGCAATCAGCAAGGCCAAGTAACCCTGTATTTTATCTCTTGTTTTCTTGCTTTATTTAAACTCATTAACCATGACTCATAATCATATTTTATTTTATTTTTTCAATTGAAAAGCAGAGTATTTTAAAAAAAAAAATTGGAATTTTTATCATTTGTGGGGCTGAAATTCATTTTTTTTTCATAATAAAGGAGAAATAAAGAGGTATTGGAAATAAATAAGACTGGCAATGTAAATTGTGACATGAGCCGTGTAATAATTATTATTAGTTTTGGCTGGTCTAGCAATCAATGTGGAGTAGCTATTTTTTAAGGGGCAATATGTTAAATACTCTTGTACACTTCTACACTGTTAAATCAGGACTAGGGGTGAAAGTCGGATGGATCGGATCGGAATTAGCCTGTTCGGAAAATTTCCAAAAAATTTCGGAAGTACAAAATCAATTCCAATTCCAATTCCAAAATTTTCGGAATCTAAAAATTCATTCCAATTCCAAAAGGCCCGGAAATTTCGGAATTTCGGAAAAAAATCGGAAATCACATAAGCTTTAAAATTTCAAAACTTCGCCGAAATTTTCTAAAATGTTCATAATTTTTCGAAAATAAGAGCATCCACGTCGATAAAAGTAAAACTAATAACTACTAAATTTCAGTTCAAAAAAAATAAATAAAAATAAACACCGCATAAAATCCAATAAAACTTCCAACAACAATTCATTATGTCAAAATCCTAAAACAAAACTTATAGGTGTATTTTTCGGAAAACAAGTATTATATAATACATTACGTTTTATAGGTGTATTTTTCGGACAAAATCGGATTTTTTCGGAATTAATTTCGGAATTAAATCGGATCGGAAATCGGAAATTCCAAATTTATTTTATATAATTCCAATTCCAATCCAAAAAAATCGGAAAATTTCGGAAGTCGGAATTTCGGATGTCGGAATGAAAAAAGTTGTTCCAAAATCGGAACTTTTCGGATCGGAACCGGCGGAAATTGGAAAATCCGTTCCAACTTGCACCCCTAATCAGGACAGTCATATTTTCGCATTTTGCTAAAAGCTCATCGAACAGCTTTATTAGAGAGGTTATACAGAAAATAGTTATCTTATACTGATTTTTTTTTTTATTATCCTCCAACTCTTATGTCTTCAAAACCATATACAATCTAAAAAATGACATTTTTTGCCCTCTTCCGTCTCTCTCTACTAGTTCCCCCGACCGTTGACCGCTTAAATTACACCACATCATTGCAAAAATGTTATTTTCATTTAACATGTCTATCGTCAATCCAAATTGTCTAATTAAGTTGTTTATTTTTAGTTTAATCCTTCATTTAAGTCTAAGTTGTCTAACTAAGCTGCCCCGAGGAAATTTCAGTAAATTCAAAATACTTGGGCGGACTGTTAGCTATACAAAATATTTCTTATGGACCTTTAACCAATTTTTCATTTTTTAAGGAGATTTTACGTGGTAAATTAATTGAATATTTCATTTATTTTATATTTATAAAGTTTTTGATTCATCAGGTCAATCTCTAATAGGGGAGCAAATCGAATGAAAGGGACTTGAATCAATATTTTTGGAGTATTTCAAATTCTTCAAAGTTCCAAGTCCAAAAATTCAGAAGTTAGAAATTAGTTCCAATTTCAAAAGTTAAAAAAAAATCACAATTTCAGAAATTTCGGAAAGTTTCAATTTTTGTTTGGAAATTTTATGAAATAATTATCATCAATAGCATGAAATTTCACCAACGACTTATTGTGAATATAAAAATAAAATAAAACATCAAGTCATCTTTATAATCCACATACATCGCGGATAACTATACAAAATATACAAACAAAACACGGAATATAGAAAAAATGAAAACATACAAACTACCAAAAATTTATATAAAAACATGAATTGTATGGATCTATTCGTGGATGTTTGTTTACATTAGGGGGCTACATGGGGATGCAATTTTGATCCAATTTTATTCTGACTTTGGATCAAATATCTTCATTTCAATTCGAAAATTTTACCGTCAATCACTCCACAGACGAGGCGACAACCATTAATCCTTAAAAAAAATATATTTTTCCGGAAAAAATATGAATACATACCACAAATTCATACCAAATCGAAAAATTTCCTCAAATTCCAACTTTATTGTATCTTGATTACGTGAAGATTTTTCTCAAATCCAAACTTGGAGTGTTAAGGGACGTTTTAAGAGAAATTTTTAAAGAGAGAATTTTTTTCCAGTTGTGTGCATAATTCGGTAAATTTAGTATGTGATCACTTAACATTTCAGTTTTTATACTAAACACAAAGTTGAAAAATAGTTGGGGGCCCTTTCTATACATAACTAGCCATGTTGAAAAAAAAGTTGGGGAACTTTTCAAAGGAACTTAATTTATCAAATCTTTAGGGAAAAATGAATCAAGAGCGTTTAATTGATTAATAGAGGCTAATAATAAACAATAATGTACATCTATAGTCTATAAATATATCAGCTGCCCTGCGTTGGGATTTTCTCAATTTTAGATTCTTTTTTCTTTTTTTTTTTGAGAGGCTCAATTTTAGATTCTAAAGAACAAAAATAATAATAATATAAAAGAAAGGAATAGTTCCCCAGCGGCAGAAACCGAGCCTTGTGATCTGTCAACCCCGAGCCTCAGATTCATAACTCCACGTAGGGTCGGAAAGCCGTTTCACCTCCAAACCTCCATCATTAAACAAATAAAAATAAATTGACCCGAAACGAAGGAAAACAAGAGAAAAATAAATAAAAATGTCTCGTAATTGCTGCCCGCCCCCCACACACAAAACACACAGTCACACAGTAGAGTCTCTAGTGTGAGAAACAACAACAACAACAACAACAAGAGCCTGCAGTGTATAGCATACCCATTTCCCATCTTTCCACCTTCTCCAACCCAATATCAAAAAACCCTCCATCTCGATCATACTTTCTCTCTCTACCATTTTTATTAAACATACAAACCACCGCTCTGCATTCCATTTGACTGCGCCACAACGATCAACAAAGAAAAGAAAAGAAATATTAATTTGTTTGAGGATCGGAGAATATGAGAAGGGGCAATGGGTTTACTTATAATACTATGGTTTTATTAATTGTGGTGTTGCAATATTGTGGGTTTCTCGCGCATGCAGTGCTGAACCCGGTCGATTTCTTGGCGTTGCAGTCGATTCGGAAGAGCTTGGCCGATTTGCCCGGCTCCAATTACTTTTCTTCCTGGGATTTCACTTCCGACCCCTGTAGTTTCGCCGGTCTTTACTGCGACGGAGACCGGGTCGTCGCTCTCAATCTCGGCGATCCTCAGGCCGGCTCTCCCGGTTTGACGGGTCGACTCCACCCGGCCATCGGCCGACTCTCCGCCCTCGCCGAGTTAACCCTCGTCCCGGGTCGGGTTGTCGGCTCCTTACCCCATTCTCTTTCTCAACTGAAGTACCTCCGGTTTTTGGCCCTCAGCCGTAATTTCATCTCCGGCGTCATACCGGCGGGTCTGGGTCAGCTCCGGGGTCTAACGACTCTCGATCTCAGCTTCAACCAACTCGCCGGAAACATCCCACTTTCCGTCGGAGCACTGCCGGCGCTGTCAAACGTTATTCTCTCCCACAACCGGCTCAACGGTTCGATTCCGGCGTTTGTGTCACAAAGTCTAGCCCGGCTGGATTTAAAGCACAACAATCTGTCGGGATGGCTGCCGCCGCCGCCTGGGCTTCCGCCGTCGATCCAGTACCTATCGCTGTCGTCGAACCGCCTTTCCGGTCCAGTGGACCGGGCACTGTCTCCCTTAAACCGGCTAAACTACATCGATCTCAGTATGAACCAATTCACCGGGTTCATCCCGGTTAATCTGTTCGCTTCCTCCATCACAAACCTCCAACTCCAGAGAAACCAGTTCTCCGGACCGGTTCAGCCGGTTAACCCGGTGACAACCCCGACGGTCGATCTGAGCTACAACCGGCTGTGGGGTGAAATATCACCAATGTTCTCGACCGTACAGAATTTGTACCTGAACAACAACCGGTTCACGGGTCAGGTACCGGCTACATTAGTGGACCGGTTATTAGACTCGAGCATACAAACGCTGTATTTACAGCACAACTATTTGAGTGGGATTGAGATTAATCCAACGGTGGAGATTCCTCTGAGCTCATCTTTGTGTCTACAGTATAACTGTATGGTCCTGCCCGTACAGACGCCTTGCCCTCTCAAAGCCGGTTCGGCCAAATCACGCCCTACTTCGCAGTGCATCGAGTGGAAAGGGTAACACTGGGAATTCACACTTTTTAAGTAGGGGTATAATGGGAATTTTTGTTCTTCCAAAGGTTAATGGTTTTTATTTGTTAGAATCAAATATTCTTTTATTTATTTATTTGTTTGTGGTAATATAGATAATTAGGTGGGGAATATCCAGTGTGGTGTTCTGGGGATTTCCAATATTTTGGTGAAAATAATTCAATAGTATTTCAATATTCTGTAATTCTATATTTTTTAATAGTTCAGTAATTAGTATTTTTTAATAGTGTGTAATGTATTCTATTGTATTTGATAATTGGTGAATTACTACTGTTTTAGTAGCAGAGAGACGTTGGGATTTGTCGATAGGCCCCCCAAACTCCACCTATCCTAATATCGTAATAAAGATAAAAATAAGTGGCATTTCTGAAATAAATGGCCTTATATACCATTTGAGCATGAACCGTTGGTTATATAGTACTAGTAACATAAAATCACAAACTCCAAAATGAGAATTTATTAATCCCTCCCCCTCAAAACAACTAACGTTTCAGATTTCCATGCACTCAAAATAATTGGCATTTAAGATTTCACATTTATTAATAAAACCAATAAAAAAAATAGTAATTTTAGTGATACGCATTTACTTTCTCCGTCTTATATTATTTGTCATTTTAAAGATTTTCTTTTTTCTAAATTATTTGTAATTATACAATTTTTTTTTAATATATGCGCAACAATCAAAAGCGATATTTAAATTGTTAAGTGCTCTTCCAATTAGTATTTTTTTTATTAACTATTTTCTATGACGAATCTATCTTTGAAGAATTTAAAAGTGACGAGAAACAAATAGAAAAATAATAAACTAATACATTATTGAGATTCTATAATGACAGTGATTAGGTGTTGATTTGCCAAGGTAACGGTATCAAACCCTTTTGTATCACTAATGTCACTAAAGTTTCGTTATAACAAAAGTCACTACCATTTAACTACCAAAATTTTTGGTGTACCAACGTTTTACTCCCTCTGTTCCACAATAATTGTCTCTTTTTAAAAATATTTTTGTTCCATATTATCTGTCACTTTATATTTCCAATACTGCATTAAATGCATTTTTCCTATTTTAACCTTATTAATGAAACTCTAATCATTATTTTTCTCTTATAAATCATTGAATAATAAAGTTTGTTTTAGTCATTTCTATATGATTTTTCTAAAATCAAGATATATTTATTGAGTTTCTTAATCTTTGTGAAAAATAAAAAGAGACACTTATTTAGGAACGGAGGGAGTATTACGATATGGTGATAGTTATATGATTTTAATACCAATGAGATCTTGTACTTGAATATTTTGCTTAAGTTTCGATAATACACTATGGTAATAATTATAACTGACTTAACACAACTTAATACTTAATCATTAAGGCTTGGACTTGAAGTCACCTTATTAAGTAAAGTGAATAAACTTGTTGAAGTCCACAAAATATCTTTACTATAAATAGAAACTTATATCATCTTCTTCAAGAACACACGACAATCGGCAATAGGAACCAGAGATAACAGATTCAATTATCTCCCTTCCTCTTTATTTTTATTGAACATATTATGAATTTGAGAGGTGCTCTGACTTAAGCTTCGGAGTGCTAACGCCGGGAGCATCTCTCCCGGTCCTTTTGCAGGTTAAACGATGAACAGGGCCTAGACGTAATAGACTCGATGATTCAAGGCAAACGGAGAAGCTGTTATCACCTTCAGCCAAGCCAAGAATTGGCGACCGAACCCGCTCGTAACTGAGTCATTCTCGATATTGCTGGTATCAGCAGTCCTCAAACAAATACAAGCTCTACAGTCCAAACCCTCCAAAATATTCCAAACATATTTTGTATAACATTCATTTCGATATATATATATATATATATATATATATATATATTATTGAGCTTATCTAATATAAAATATTTCTAGATCATATTATAACAAAACTCGCAACATAAATTATAAATTGTATAATCAGTAATGAAACATATTCAAAATAAATTTTTTTTTTGAGAAACATTCAAAATGCATTTTGACATACATAATAATTAAAACTATTTGTCTAATAACAGTTATTTTGTGTATTGTCTTCTCTTTTTATGTAAAACATATCAAAATTTAGTTGGATACAATGTCAAATTAAGGGTCATAGTATCCGGAAGAATGCTGCATCGTATCACGTCTTTAAAACTTAATTCTAAAATTAGTGTATATAATTGCTTTACAGTTGATGGGGTACGTTTGGCAATTGGGCCGTACCCCCACATTGCGGGCATTTTTGGGATTTGGATCGGAGGCCCAATAGGGCGAAGAGAGTAAAGTGGGCCATGGAAGTTCGTCTGACAGATCTCGAAGATTAAGATGGGCCAAGAGCTTGCTTCAATGGAGCACGATTGCCAAAATGGGTCAGAAGCTCGCCCAAAAGAGGTCATTACGTGAGAGTTCGCCCCGCAGTTCTGATGCATGTAGAAGTGAGAAGAGAAGACATGGCGAATGATGAACTGATCTCATGATCCTTGGAGTGTGAGATCCGGAGATAACTTCCATAAATAGATAAAGAAAGATTATAGATTGAAATTGTTGATTGAGCAATCGTAATCATAGACAAAATAACGATTGTAAATAAGGAAAAAAAAAAAAAACTATAAATAATTCTCTATATAAGCAAATGTAGAAAAGTCTATTGGCTTACGCACACACACAAGCAACAATACATTTTTGATACTTTCTCTTGATTTCTCTCTCTCTTTTATTGTTTTTCCACCTCTTTGTTCATCATCGCGGGCCCAAAATACCGGTGATAGGTGAACATCCCGGTGTTCGAGGGAGTTGAGCTTGAAGAAAAACTTTGAGTGTACAAATATATATTGTACCATAACAATGATATATTAGTCTATATGTGGATTCACACAAACATTGTAGATTGTAGAAGAGATCAAGAAAGTGTTTTGAGCTTTAGAGAGAGTGAAAATTCAGATGGTACTCAATAACTTTTCGGATGACACTTAAAAGAAGAGAAGTAAATTATTATAATTTATATTCATTTTACTGAAATAATTTTTTTTGGCAAAAATAAAATAAAATTAAAATTTAATTGCACTATTGAAATATATTTGGCACGGTGCACTCTTGAAATATATTTGGCACTTTGCACCCCGAAAAATAATAATAGCACTTTGCACCCTCAAAACACAATAAATCATTCACAATGCACCATGAATTGAATAATAAAGACAATTTCGTTTTTCATTGGTGTTTTTTTTTTGCTAAGGGCTGCAAAAACAAAAAAAATTGTTACCTTTTGAACCTCCAGCCTAATTTTCGAGCCAACAAAGTGCGAAAAAGATTAAAATTACACCGGATTATTTAAAATCACTAAATTATTCGATTGATGAATCTTTAATTGCAAATGGTTAAAAATATTAAGTAAAAATATTTGGAATAAAATATAATTTTCAGATAACTTGATAACGGAATAGCTGAATCATTTTTTTTTTCCGTAAAATATTTTATTTTGATAAAAAAAAATATAACTTTTAAATATGTTGATGAAACGTAATTTTATTTTTTCACTTTATAATTCAAAATGATTGATGAATAAAAAAAATATTTGACATTTGACATCCTAAAAAAATATCACTAAAAATATTAAATTACTTTGTTTTAGCTTTAAAAATTTATTTGGGGTGCATTATGCATGATTTATTGTGTTTTGAGGGTGTAAAGTGCTATTAATTTATTTTGAAGGTGCAAAGTGTCAGGAAGGTATATTTCAAAGGTGCAAAGTGGGATTAAGCCTCTTTATTTGGGCCTAACTAATGAAGCCCAGACATACAAAGAATCTAATAATTCGCGCTTTCTCTCACTAGCGAATCTTTGCTTTGCTTCTCCTCTGATTTTCCAATCTTGATTTTTCCCCCAAACCCCTACCAAAAACCCTAACCCCTGTCAGTCACCAAATCAGAAGCAGAAAATGCATAAAATGCAATTCCTTTTCACCTCGCAATGATGAAGCGAGTTTGGAGAATCTCGGAATTTCAGAAATGCATCAATACACGAAACATAATCACGAAACCCTCACTCCCACTTCAGTTTATTCGGCATGTAACTCAATCCCCCGGCATCGATGATGGCAAACATACGACGCTGTCCGATATTGTATCCCTGTTTTCAGACAAATGGAGCCGTAATCCCGCAGAGACCATTTTGAAGAAGAATTTGAGGGAAAAAGTTTCCAAATTGAAGGACGAGCTTTTGACTCAAAATGAAGATCCGGAGAAAATCGAGAAAGTTTTGGAAGAAAACGGCGTCGCTCTTTTCAGGATTTATTCCGATGGATCTGCTGTTGTTGAGCTCTTGTTTCAGCTTAAGTCTTTCCCCTACTTAGCTATGGAGGTAAAATCATTTTTTTCGAATCTTCTTCTTTTGTGCTCTGTGTTGTGCACTTCATTTTAAATGTGTGGCCGATAGCCGATTGATTATTAAGTATCCTTAGGCCCCGTTTGGTTGGCGAGATAAGATTAAATAGTCTAATGAAACCCAATTATTTGATTTGAGCTCGCGACGTCCAACAAAGAAAAACACATTCGAAGGCAAGATAAGCCACGATTACATAATTTTGGCGGGCAATATATTGGAGATACCAAACATCAAATTAGGTCCAACTACTTAGTTAATCTTGGCTTATCTTGGCAACCAAACGGGGCCTTAGAATTGAAATTAATGAAAAGATACTTTCTTCGTCGAGATTTGATTAGAAGTTGGATTAATCGGTTTTTTTCCGTGCCAGGTTTTTAGTTGGAGAAGGAAACAATTGGACTATTCTGCACCGATGACGGTGGAGGAATACGCAAAGGGTATCGCCATGGCTGGTAGATTGAAAAATATCGATCTTGCATTGGAGCTTTTCAAGGAGGCTTCGAATAAACAGTTAATGGCCACATCTTTATTTAACGCACTCATGAGTGCTTACACATACAATGGCTTAGCCATGCGGTGTCAGTCGTTATTTCGCGATTTGAAGATGGAATCCACGTGCTCTCCGTCGATCGTAACTTACAACATACTTATTTCAGCATTCGGTCGGCTAATGCTTGTGGATCACATGGAAGCAACTTTGAGGGAGGTAAAGGATTTAAATATTCCTCCAACTGTCAACACGTACAAGGGTTTAATAGCTGGCTATATTACAGCGTGGAAGTGGGAAGAAATGGAGAAGACTTACAGATTGATGAAAGCGGGCCCCATCAAACCCGATATAGATATCCATCTACTAATGCTCCGTGGGTATGCACATTCTGGTAAGCTGGAAAGAATGGAGGAAATATACGATATGGTAAGGGACCATGTTGACCAGAACGAGATTCCGTTGATAAGAACCATGATTTGTGCGTACTGCAGGAATTCTCGTGTTGGTAGGGTCGAAAAAGTTGACGAACTACTCAGATTAATTCCGGAAGACGAGTACAGGCCTTGGTTGAACGTGATCTTGATTTGTTTATATGCTAGAGAGGATTTATTGGATCAAATGGAAAATTCAATAAAGGAGGCGTTTGAGCATAAAGCGTACGTGACGACAGTTGGTGTAATGACATGCATTATTTCGAGTTATTTCCGGCAAAATGCAGTGGACAAGCTGGCGGACTTTGTGCAGCGTGCAGAGTGCGCAGGTTGGAAAATCTGCCGGTCGCTTTACCACTGCAAAATGGTGATGTACTCGTCAGAGAAGCGGCTTTCTGAAATGGAGAGGGTTCTTTGTGAAATGGAGAGAGTAAATATGCGCCTCTCGAAGAAAACATTTTGGATATTGATTAAGGCGTATAAAAAGTGGGGTCAAAGAAGTAAGCTTGAGCAGGTCGTCGGAATGATGTGCAAGCATGGATACGGAGTACCTTTGGATGCATGCAATTTATAGCAATATTTTTTTGCCGAGTTAGAGAAGTGAGTTGAGAATTCCAGCGCAAAAATGAAAGTTATAGTAGTCCAAGGCTTGCTGCCGGAGATGAAGTTTCCATTCATATTTAAAGGTGAACGAATCGTGTTTAATCAATTTTGAATTTTCTCTTACTTTTGACGTGTTAATACTCGTTTTTGCCATGCTCTGCTGTCATTAAGTAGGTGTGGTGGTATCTAAATAAACATAAGGTGGGTGGAAGAAAATTGTATCAAGGGTAAATTAGATCTACCTTCCCCCGAGGTTACTAAAGTGTTTGTTTCTCTGTCTAAATTACCCAACCCTCGCTCTAACTTAGGTCTAATTTAGACCGCTCGATTTTGAAAACTTACCCATACCCCCTTGAGGTTTAACTTCAATCATCATCTAATCGTATTTGATTGTTGATTTGTTAGAAATTGATAATATAAGCAAGAAAAGGCGACTTTTTAAATGCTCGTCAATATCATATCTCCGAGTGAGGTTTTGTGTAATTTTCCAAACTCAAAGAGTTCAGTTGTAATCAAGGTTGTAAAAAGCGGGAATCGGGTCGGAGGCGGTTAGGCACCGCCTAACAATTAATTGGTGTGGCAGTGATTTTGTGTTTACCGAATATTTCGTGTTTTCCATGTTCAGTTATTTGTTTACCATCAATTTATTCAAGAGCATTGCATGCTTCCTTTGTGGACAATTTTGGTCGTTTTATGCAGAACCAGAGCCATACGATTCTTGCATTGTCTCGATCACATTGATGATTCACAATTAATTGAAAGCCGTCCATGAATCTCGTAATAGATACTCTCCTGTCATTACATTCAATTAGGAGATCAGTTTTTTTCTAACATTCATATTGTGCAGCAAACTCAGATTCAGGGTTTTACTAAAAGAGCATCTCTTGACTCGGTTCTACTTCAATATAATACATACTACATACATATTTCACGTTTCGACTGACCATTTTTGGCCTGTTTTTATCATGTGCAAAAGCACGAATCATCGGCATATATAAGTATGAATGATTTCTGAAACGGTACATCCTGTAAAAACTACAACTCGTTCACACCGATAAGGTTTACCTATACTGGGACACAAAACAGTTTGTGTTCGTGCAATATAGCCGTTGCCAGTTATCGAATAGGTTTCACTTGGATTCAATTTACGATGGTTGGAACAACTAAACTGAGTACAACGTACGTTACATCTCCATGAAATCGTGTCGTAGTGGTTCATGTGAAAAGAATAAATAAAAGTCTTGATTTGTAATCTTAATTTCAAGAACTTTCTAGATATTGTCTCACCATATCTAACCAAATCAAAGCATATATCCTAGTAGATAGAGTAGATTTAAATTTAAAAAATGGGTAAAAAAAAGTCTTTGATTCCAACTTATATTACGCTTCGCTAGCTTAAAGAACAAAGATTGTTTCAAACTATAGCATATACATATTTTACACACATCCATGTGTACGTATGTATAATTTAAAAGTGAAAAACTATTCATCTATTTTACCAAATGTAGCACCTAGGAGACCCTTAAAGAAATGGATGGATTTTTTTTGAGAGCTTAGTAACAAGTGAGGTCTCATTTTAGAGCTAAATTAGTGTGTTTTGTGGATAATTAATTATGAGATTTTTATGCATAAGTTAAGTTCTTGACAAACCATCTTTATTATTTTAGATTCAGGCATTATATCTCTTTTGCCAACAAACTCATCTCTTTATATATATTATAAAGACAAAAGTAATGTATATGACATCCAATTCTTTTGAATCAAATTCATAATTGTAACCCAATTTAACTTCAATTTTATCCATTTTGACCATAAAAATCTAATTTTGACATTTTTTAACTATTTTATTTTATTTTATTTTCATCTCCGGTTTCCAGCTTACTTTTTTTTTTTTTTTTTTTTTTTTTTAATGTTTTTTACGCCTACGGCCTTTGGCGTTGATTTTTTTTCATAACTTTTACTCTGTTTTTTTACGCCCACCGCTGAAAGTTGACCGTAATTGTACTGTCGCTGACAGTAATTGTATTTTTAGCTGACAATAATTGTCCTGGCAGTTGACAATACAACGTAATTATACTGTCGTTGACAACACAATTACTGTAAACACAATAATATTACCGTCATGTACATCAATATTATTATTTTTGACTTTTTTATTTTGTTTGATTTGTTGACCAGTCAACGTAATAATGTTACTGTCGTTGACGGTAAAATTACTGTAAACACAATAATATTATTTTCAACCACATCAATATTAATTTTTTTTTTGATTTGTTGGCCGATTAACGTAATAATATTACTGTTTACTATTGTAATATTACTATAAATGCAATAATATTATTGTGGTTGATGGTAATATTACTATCGTTACTGTAATATTATTGTGGTTGACAGTAATATTACTGTGATTAACAATATTAATTCTTTTGGCTTTTTATTATATTTGCCTTTGTTGAACGATCAGCATATTACTTTATGTATGGGTGATGAAATTCCATTGATACATAGTGAATTCCAATAAACTTATTGGAGGGTCCCATTGGCGTGCATCCAGTAGGAATTGAACCTACGAATTCGCCAATGTTGACTTGAGGCGCTTTAACCATTCAGCCATGGATGCAAAGAGACTCAACGAGTGAACTAGGTTTTGGTATTCCTTCTCGAGCTTCTATTTCTCCCTTTAAAGAAGATTCGAGATTTTTTTTTTATGTTCGCATTTGTTAAACGGTCAACATATTAATATTACTCTAATACACAATAATAGTGATGTTTGTTGTGTTAATATTAATGTGTTAGAGAGTAATATAACAAGATTATTGTGTAAAACAGTAATATAATTAATATAGTTAATATGACTGTCAACCACAACAATATTACTGTTTAAACGAGCCAAAAATGTTGAAGAAAAAAAATATCAAAAAAAAAAAAAAAGAAGTCAAAGCCGTCGAACACCGGTGTTTGACCGTCGGTCAACTGCGGCAAAATAAAGAAAAAAAAAAGTCAATTCCGGAGATCGACGTTAAACAGCGGTTGACCGACGGTCAGCCGTGGCGACGAGCAAAATTGTAGTAAAAATTGGGTTAGATGTCGAAATTGATAATTTGTGAAATTTAGGGTCAGCTGAAGTTAAATTAAATTAAATGAAAAAAAAATTGATCATATTTAAATGTGATGGGTATTTTAGTTTTTTACACATCACTAGACGTAGTGTGGATTTTTTTGTAATTTTCCGGACGTCAAGATCGTACATTTTGGGTAGAGAA